TCGTTCCTCCTACTAGTAGAATATACCAATTGTGACTTCAACGTTTGATATCAAGCCGTATCTCACCTCGGTTACAATTTAATCTTCCTCCACAGAGAATATACCAATTGTGACTTCAATGTTTGATATCAGCCGTATCTCACCTCGGTTACAAATTAATCTTCCTCCACAGAGAATATACCAATTGTGACTTCAACGTTTGATATCAGCCGTATCCCACCTCGGTTACAAATTAATCTTCCTCCACAGAGAATATACCAATTGTGACTTCAACGTTTGATATCAGCTGTATCTCACCTCCGTTACAGATTAATCTTCCTCCACAGAGAATATACCAATTGTGACTTCAACGTTTGATATCAGCCGTATCTCATCTCGGTTATAAATTAATCTTCCTCCACAGAGAATATACCAATTGTGACTTCAACGTTTTATATCAGCCGTATCTCACCTCGGTTATAAATTAATCTTCCTCCACAGAGAATATACCAATTGTGTCTTCAACGTTTGATATCAGCTGTATCTCACCTCGGTTATAAATTAATCTTCCTCCACAGAGAATATACCAATTGTGACTTCAACGTTTGATATCAGCCGTATCTCACCTCGGTTACAAATTAATCTTCCTCCACATAGAATATATAGAAAAAAACAAGAAAAAAATTCCACTGAACCACCATTAGCAATAGTTCTGAGGTGAAGTTTTTGAAATATATCTAAGAATGAAAAATTCTAATTTATGGCGCGATAAATACATTGTATAAGGGAGAAACTACGAAAAGGCATGGCGGTTAGGGCACTTAACTCTCAAGTTCTGGTCGAGGGATCGAAACCCATCGCCTAACATGCTCGCCCTTTAAGCCATTGGGGGTGTTATAATGTGACAGTGAATCCTACTATTTGTTGGTAAACAATATCCTGGAAAACATCTGTTGCGTGGAGTTTTTCGTAAAATTTCCGTAGTATATGAAAATATTCAATCTATGTTTAGAAATTCTTAATTTGCAAATGTAAAACAACCTCATCCGCTTTACCGTGTAGGAAATATTTCCATTTTCAGAAAATCATGTATCATTAAAAAAAGCATGGCCAGGTGGTTAAGGCGCTCGACTCGCAATCTGAGGGTCGCGGGTTCGAATCCCCGTCACACCAAACATGCTCGCCCTTTCAGCCGTGGGGGCGTTATAAGTGACGGTCAATCCCACTATTCGTTGGTAAAAGAGTATCCCAAGAGTTAGCGGTGGGTGGTGATGACTAGCTGCCTTTCCTCTAGTCTTACACTGCTAAATTAGGGACGGCTAGCGCAGATAGCCCTCGTGTAGCTTTGCGCGAAATTCAAAACAAACAAACAAACATCTTCTCGTACCCGGGCTTCCTTTATGAATTATTGAAATCTCTTACTGATTTAATAACAAACTTGGCAGGTAAGCAAAGGGTTAATTCGTCTTTCTATATCAACTATTCTAAATAAAAGTGTGTCTTTCAGCTCTCTTTACCTTTGGGAACATTCCTGTCGTTTAAGGTTTGACGCTTGGTTTAGCTGAACGCAATAGCTGGGTAATTATCTATATTCTCACGAGTCAATATTTGTAGAACGCTAACACTATTGTTCCCAAGAGACTCTCCTCGTGACAAGGAATATGATCTGGCAGCAAAGTGTGTGCCAAATTAAAATAAGTGTTCCCAAATGGGCAAGAGAGCCTCTGAATAGTTAATTTTGTAACAGATGGGGGGAGGGGGGGTTATTAAAGATAAATAAATTGGTTTGTTTGTTTGTTTTTTAATTTCGCGCAAGGCTACACGAGGGCTGTCTGCGCTAGCCGTCCCTAATTTAGCAGTGTAAGACTAGAGGGAAGGCAGCTAGTCATAACCACCCACCGCCAACTCTTGGGCTACTCTTTTACTAAAGTATAGTGGGATTGACCGTCACATTATAACGCCCCCACGGTTGGAAGGGCGAGCTTGTTTGGTGTGACGGGGATTCGAACCCGCGAGTCGAGCACCCTAACCACCTGGCCATGCCGGGCCTAAATTAAATGTGAAGCCCAATCTATCATTCAATTTACCACTTGTCACCATACATGTACTGTAAGAAGCCTAGTCTTCTTTTTTCGATTTCTGTTGTCCAGGGTTACTGATGAAGGGGTCCCCCGGTGTGACTGTGGTAAGTCTGCGTATTTAAAACGCTAAAATCAGCTACTTGATTCCCCTCGGTGAACACAGCAGATAGCCAGATATGGCTTTGATATGAAAAACCCATTCTGATGAGTGTGCCCCTCAGTGGCACAGCGGTATGTCTGTGGACTTACAACGCTAGAAACCGGGTTTCGATACCCGTGGTGGGCAGAGCATAGATAGCCCATTGTGCAGGTATAACTCAGTAACAAGTGGTAAATGGAATGATAGATTGGGCATTTTATTTATATTTATAAAATAGACTGGGTCTTGCGGATATTCTTAACCTGCCATCTCTTGGGTAAATAAAGAACTAATACAATTTCGATATAACTTCACATTAACTTGTGTTTTATCAGTTTAACCTAGTTATTTTGTCGACAGTTTTATGGTTATATTTATATAATTCTGTCATTGAGTGTTGTTATTTTTTCTTCACACAAATCACCACAAGGGCTGTCTACTCTTATCACCTACCAAAAAATATTGGAATGTTGTAATTATGTAGTGGGATTTGTCCGACACTCTTATAACACATTCATGACTCAAAGAGCGAAGCGCGTTTTTGCAGCAACAGGACACGAACCATGGACCCTCGGGTACATAATCTGGCACGTAACCACCAGGCGCAACACCCTGCTTATGAGAAAGAGATTAACATATTTCTAACTTCGCGATACATGTGGTTTGGCTGACAATAAGTTCGTATATACTGTTATTAATGTACATTTCTTTACATTATAATAGATTAACATATTTCTAACTTCGCGATACATGTGGTTTGGCTGACAATAAGTTCGTATATACTG